CCAGCAGGGAGCGTCCAACTCAGACACAAACACTTCTCTTCAGACCCAAGGCTGTGGCTCTTTCCCCCATATCACTAGTTCCCTTTCTGATCTTAAAAGGCCCCGTTCCATTGAAGACATTCTTGGGAAAGGTTGCATAATAAGCTTTATCGTCTTGATGAAAGACACCTTAAAGCAGTAGTTCTTAAACATTAGTGTGCAACAGAAGCACATGGAAGATTTGTTAAAACACAAGTTATTGTCTCCACCCCCCAGGATTTCTGACTCAGAAGGTCTGAATAGGGCTGGAGAAATTTGAGAACCACCGCCTTAGAGGGAAGTGGTTGAGAGCCGGCTTAGAAAGCAGGAAAAGACTGTTGGCAGCAGACGGAGAGATCTAGGGAAAACCAGAGGGCAGGAAGCAACAGCTTTAGGGGCCAGGTGGAGAGGTAAGGGCTCTGCCAAAAGGAAGAAAAAGCACCAGCTCAGACTTTAGCTCAATCTCTGCCTCTGGCAAATCACCTTCTCTGAGATGAAATAGACCAATTCCTCTAAAAACAGGAACTACCACAACCCACCCCAGATGAAATAGATAATTGTAGCCCTATAACTATTTTAAAAATTGAATTCATAATTTTAAAACTTCCAGGAAAGAAATCTCCAGGGCTCAGATAGTTTCACTGGAGAATTCTTTCAACTGTCTAAAGAACACCAAATCTACACAATCTTTTCCAGAGCATACAGGGGAATGTTTCCCAATCCATTTTATGAACCCTGACACCAAAACCAAAGGTAGTTTTTAAAACAGAAAGAAAAAAAAAAGAGAGAAAACTTCCGGCCAATATCTGTCAAAAATGTAGACATAAAAATCCTTAACAAACTATTAGCAAATAGAAATCAGCAATGTATAAAAAGAATGCTGGGCCAGGCGTAGTGGCTCACGCCTGTAATCCTAGCAATCTGGGAAGCCGAGGAGGGTGGATCCTTTGAGCTCAGGAGTTTGAGATCAGCCCGAGCATGAGCGAAACCCAGTCTCTACTGAAAAAAATAGAAAGAAATTAACTAGACAACTAAAAATATACAGAAAAAATTAGCTGGGCATGGTGGCGCATGCCTGTAGTCCCAGCTACTCGGGAGGCTGAGGCAGCAGGATCGCTTGAGCCCAGAGTTTGAGGTTGCTGTGAGCTAGGATGACGCCACAGCACTCCAGCCCAGGCAACCAGAGTGAGACTCTGTCTCGAAAAAAAAAAAAAAAATTCTAAAAAGAATGCTGAAGCATGACCAAGGGGGTTCAGTATTTGAAAACAATCAATGTACTGCAGCATGCAGACAGGCAGCGAGGGTGGCCGCCAGCAGGCTCTACTGAGCAGTGGTCGGGGCACTGGGATGAAGGTGGAGCCAAGAAAATCTGGGGAAGTGAAAAAATGGGACTCTACACACGTGGCTTTTATTTAAACAAAATAAAACACTGCACACCACACAAATTCAATGACTGCTAGGTTGTACACCTAATGCCTGTCAGAGAGCGGGGGCCACTGGAAGTGCGGGGACAAACAGAAGAAAAGATGGCTTGAGGCTCCAAGCGCTACACAGGACAGTCCAAGCTGAAGACCCACATTCCCCAAGGTCAGAGTGATCCCTAGAGTAGGGTCCAGGGGCAGAGAAGAGCAGGAGACCCTCCAGTCAAGCAGTTGGCAGCCAAAACATAAGGAAACCCATTCTGGAATTTTTGCTTAGGAGCTCTGTATTTAAACTTTGAACCACAGCCTTATAAGTTTGTATTTGAACTGAAAACACTGACCTGGCGCCTTTCACAACCTGTACCAAAGGTGGAGCTAGATAGAGTCTAATAGCTAACCAAGTTCATCACTAGCAAACCCTCTGTCCAGGATTCGTCTCCTACAGTGAAAAGGCTCCCGCCTGCCTCTTGCCTTTCAGCAAGGCGCTCACCAGGCCAGGTCCCAGTGCAAGCTGGCAGCGTCCCCTGTCCTCTGAGCCGAAGCTCCACCCCACAGCTCGCCCCTGCCCTGCTGTCAGCACAAGTCCCGTACGCTGTGCTCCGGAAGCAGCCCTTAGTCAGTGCGGGTGCCAGTGTCTCTGGGAGGGACACGTGGGGCTGTCCTTCACAGAATTTGACGTGCCTGTGAATCACGACCTCAGAGCCTGAGGCTCTGCATTTCTAATGAGCTCCCAGACGATGAGGATGCCGATGCGGCTGGTCTGGGGACTACACTTTGGCACCCATACCAGTGCTTTCTGTAGTTTCCTCCCAAACTGCCTGCTTTCAAATTCTTGTCAGAAGGGGGGGACGCATTTTTTCTCTCTCCCTTCTCATATCCCATGCTCCTTGTTCTCAGTTTTCACAAAGTCCAGCCACTACCTTGCAATGTGACACAGGGCGAGCACTTCATTTCCTCATCTCCAGAATAAGGGGGTTAGTCTGCCCAGTGTCCCTTCCCGCTCTAAAACTCTAAATATTTTCTCATTATTCTAGTGACTATGGAAATTTCCACGCTCTTCCCAACCAGCTTTCCTGCTCTGGTGCACGACCTTTTAAAATCAGGCTGACTCCACATGCTGCTCATCTTCAAAAGACATCTCTAAACACAAACGAAAAATAGAGGCCTTTTTTTCAAACATAATAGCAAAAATCCTTGACACCAGAGAGAAATGGAGATAGCAAATGTTCACACATGCGGATGACATTTTCATTGTGAAAGGAAGAAAGACACCATTCAGAAAAACAGAAGAATAGTAGTTTCAGGCAGAGGCTATTAAAATGAAAATCAATGTGAAACTAACAAAAGATATGAAACCATAGTCAAAAGACATCTAAACAGAAGATAATAAAGATAAGAAAACACAACAGTTTGTATACTGGTCTGTTTTTTGAGCAACTGTCTCAAGATGTATATATACAAACACATGCTGTCCCCTTGCAGATAATCATTTTGGAAAGCTACGCCCTTACGCCCATGCTCAAACATTTTTGAAATTTCTAAAGTTAAAAAGAAATCAAATATACAAGCATAGACATAATTCAATATTATTACCTGAGTCACCACTTTTTACCCAAAATAATACAACCCAGCCTAAATGCAAATTTCATTTATAATAATTTAATAAACTTCCTAAAATATTAATAAATAAAATCTACTCGTGTAATTGTCAGTTATTGCTGTGTAACAAATAATCCCCCAAATCACAGTGGCATACAGCAATAAGTAGTTACATCTCATTCAAGAATCTTCATGTCTGTTGAATGTTCTGCTTCACACTGTGAGTCTGCATGTTGGCTGAGAAGCCTCTGCAATATGTGAATTCAGTCTGGTACCCAGAAGCTGATAGGCAGCTACTCCGGTGTATAATCTTCTCATGGCAGAGGTCAGATGTTCCTGAGAACAGAAACACATGTTGCCTCTAAGGGTGAGACTTGGAACTGATACACTGCTACCTCTCCACATTCCATTCCAAAGCAAGTCATATGGCCAAGTCCAAGGTCAATAAATGCTTCCCACAGAGTTAGCAGTAGATGGAGTGAATATTTGCTGAAAATCTTTTCTATCAATTTCTATATTATGATGATTTGTCAATACAGAAGATATTAAAAAGAAGGGCTTAAGAATTCTTTAGGCATACAAAGTGCCAATGTGATGTGAGTAATAACATTATCATTGAAATAAGTTTGTAGCTTTACAAAGGGACCATCTTGGATATGCAAATTTTAGTTTGTTTGTTTAAAAAAGTTAATTTTATGTTTTTTATAAAAGTCAAACTTCATGCTTGCTTAACTGCATCCAATTCTTATTTATAGATGGCCCTATCCACAGAGGGGCTATCTACAGGTGCTCCTGAAAGATATAAAGTCAAATGTTTCCTTATTTCTCCTCTTTCATAAAAAATATTTAAAAGAGAAGCAAAATTACCAGAATCTCCATTCTGATATCTCCTTGCTGGGGCTTAGCAGGCCAGAAGTATAAGGGTGCAAAGGCATTGCCCATTTGTTAGGGTCAGCTGGGTTTCTTGGTAAGCTATTCTGGGCAGTCGGGAGCTCTGTGGTCCAGCCAAGTGGTCCTGGTCCCTTAGCTGCTCCTATCACCTCAGCTGCGTGCTGGACATGCTGTGTCACCTCCCCAGACTTCCAGTTCTCCATCCATAAGTGTGCTCCCTGGTGCAGCCTGCCCTAACAGTGGCACGTCTGTGAATCTATTGTGTGCTGGAGGTTTTCTGGTGTCACTGTTTCCTAATGAGGACGGCTTTATAAAGTCACTGATTGCAGCTCTAGAAAGTGTAACAACAGCTTTTGTAAGCTAAAGACTGGGTACAAAAACTCTCATTTAATGCCCTAGTTTTTATTTCCCATAAAGAATAGATATTCTTGGAATTGTGGGGACTGTTAGTAACAAGGTGACAGTTTCCAATCAAATTCGCTAGATAAAAATCAAAACGTTACCTTCTCTTACTGGGTGACTCTGATGCATCTACACACATCAGCCTTTTCTTCTTCATCATCTTTTTTTGGTTTATTTGGCAGATCTTAACAAAATGATCTTGGGCGCCACTCTAACGTCCTATGAATCAGAAGATGGATTTTGAACTAGGGCTTGAGTCAACAGCCAGGAAACAAACAAACAAAGCAAAAGTCAAATACTCTAAAATCACTTTCTAAAGCTAACACTTTACATTCTCCGGAAAGCATTTAATCTCTTACCAGTTCCCTCGCCTAAGTTCTTCAGAGGGATGGGAAGAGTATTTATGTGCTTAGCAAACACCTGTATCCCCTTAGCCAGGTCTGTCCCAAGAGCTTCCCTACATCTCACTTAATTGTCGCCAGGGTCCTCAGAGAGAAGTGTTGTGACCCCTCTTTACCGGGCTCTTCCCAGCTGTCCACCCTCCTCGGGACAGTCCTGGGGCGCCCCTGCGGGCACTTAGCTCCCACCTCTCAAAGCGCCTGGCGCCCAGAGGGACGGGGGTTCGTGGCCAGGGCGGGTGGCAGCGGCGACCTTTGGAGCGGGCGGGCCAGGTGGGCGGGCCGGGCAGGGCCGGGTGCCGCGGGCCTGGGGCTTCTCGCACTGTCGCGCTGGCCATGGAGCCGCGGGCCCCCGGCGAGGTGCGCATGAGCCAGGCGGTGCAGCCGGCGCACGCCAACGCCCGCGGCGAGCTGAGCGCGGGGCAGCTGCTCAAGTGGATCGACATCACCGCCTGCCTGGCGGGTAGGGCGCGGCGGGGCCCCGGGCCGGGGCTGGGGGTCGGGTCCGGGGCGCAGAGGTGTCTGAGAGCTGGCTGGGGCTGGGCTGGGACGGGGCTGGGACTTGGGGACGCGGGAGCCCGGATCGCTGCAGGAGAGAGAAGGAAGGGTAGGACGATGTTCACAGAGTTGTGTCCCTGCGCGGCCAGGGACAGTGACGACGGAGATAGCTCGCCTGACACTGCGAGTGACCCAAACCGATGGTTCTTAAGTTTTTTGGTCTTAGGTCCCCTTCATCCCATTAAATTAGCTAGGACCCCAGAGAGCTTTTGTTTATGTAGGTTCTTTATATCCATATTTATCATATTTGAAAGTTAAAGTTTTTGATTGATTTAGAAAGAAGAAACCCATTACGCGTTAACATATTTTTATTAAAAATAACTGCATTTTCAACAATAACGAAAGTGTACTTAGAGGAGTGGTAACAGTTTACATGTTTGCCAATCTCCTTAATGTCTGGTTTAGTAAAAGGTTGCTCACTTCTCACATCTGCTTCTGCATTCGTTTTGTTGCCACCACACCCTATGTAGTCTCTGGAAAACTCCACTGGGCTCTTGTGAGAGAGCAAACGAAGAATAAAAATGGTAAAAACAGCAAACAAAAGATTTGCTATGGGCTGAATTGTGCCCTCCTGCAATTCATATGTCGAAGCTCCCCAGCGTGGCTAAATTTGGAGTAAGGAAGTAATTCAGGTTAAATGAAGTAATAAGGATGGAGTCCCCATAGGATTAATATCCCTATAAGAAGAGACAGCAGAGAGCTTGACCTCTCTGCCATGTGGCCATGAGGCCACAGCAAGGAGGCAGCCATCTGCAGGCCAGGAAGAGAGCCCTCACTAGGACCTAAATTGACAGGCACTTTGGTCTTGGACTTCCCAGCCTCTAGAACTGTAAGAAATACATTTCTGTTGTTTAAGCCACCCAGTCAATGGTATTTAGTTACAGCAGCCCAAGCAGACAAAGGCAACATCTTAGCATTAATGCGAAAATAGTTTTCACCTCAGGAGCTCTCCCGCACCACTGAGCACCTGACTTGGACTTACATCTAGGGATGGCGACTCTGCTTTGGAAAACAGCAGGTTAGGACGTAAATGATTTTCTAACTGAAAGGCTAGGCAGGGCCGTATTTTTGAGAAGTGGGTCCCCTACGCCCCTTGCCTACTTCTCCCATCTTCAGATCAGTGATAGATACAATCTCTGGTAGCAACAAACCTGCCATCCCTCACTTCTGCAAAACTGCTTTTGGCTTCCCTTTCTCTATCCTGCCTCCCTGGGATCTGTTCTTTGCACGGAGGCCACAGTGAACTTTAAATACATAAATTACATCACACCACTCCCCAGCTTAGAACCTCTAAGTGGCTTCCTATCATACTTTAAATAAAATCGAAACCCTTTACCATTCCTTATAGATGCTACTTAGAGTTGGAAACTCATATTCTCTGAAGGGCTAGCCAGGTAATCATAAAATGTGAGATGAGTCCAAGCCCAGCTTAGGACATCAGGGAGCGGTGGTTACGTGGTAAGCTGTAGGGTGCCCTACCAGAGGACATTCACATTAACAACAAGTATAACATCGTGCTGCTCAGGCAGCATTGTGCCATGGACCAGGCCACAGGCATGGTTCCTGTCTCCCCTGCACTGTGTTTGGTCCCACTCCCTTCCTGGTTCCTGTGCTCCAGCAGTACCAGCCTTCTGATACGTCCCAGAACATGCCCAGCTCTCCTCTGCTCAGGACCCTTGCACCTTGCTCCTCTTTTTGCTTTGACACTCTTTCCAGGGCCCTTGGCATGCATGACATCTCAGCTTAAATGCCATTTCCCCAGAGAAGTCTTTCCTGACCACCAGTTTATATTTGCACACTTTCACCACTTTTCTTGCATTGCTCTTTCCAACTTCTTTCATACCACTTAGCACAATCTGTAATTATTTAGTATTTTGTATGTTAATCTGTTCACTTCTTTATTTTCTGCCTGTACAATTAGCATGTAAGCTAAAGCTAGTTTTCCAGAGCCTAGTAAGTGCCGAATAAAAAGCTCCTGATTACATGAACAGGTGGGTGGGTGGGTGATGGATGGATGGGTCCAGAATTTGGAATCTCATTTCCCAAAGGAAGCCAGACTTTGCATAAGACACTTCATCGACTTGGCAAGTGTACATTTGAAAATAAAATACATTATGATAAAATATTAGATCAGGAAGGGGTTTTAAAGATCATGTATCCCAGGACCCCTGTTTTACAGATAGCAAATGTAAAGCTTAGCCTTAGATTATTACGGAAGCCTGCTCTTCTCAACGAGTGTTAATAGAGTTTCTAATTCCCTGTGTCTTAACCACCTGCAATATTATAATTATAGTAATTATTATTCAGTTATATATTTGAAGCCAATCCATTTGTCTATTTTTTGTTGATAGATCTATTTGGTTTCTGTCTTAGTTTTTTAACAGGATTTGATGTTGGTTATAATAACATAATAATGGAAACATGAATATAAAATTAATACACATATAGGAAAAAGAAACAAGTATAAAAACCACTGATGTTGCTAATAATAATGATGCCTATTTCCAAGGCAACTGAATGCATTATGAGACTATGGAAGTGATTTTTAAAGTTACCTTGCTGAGTGTCTCTGATATGTGATGGGGAAACAGTTGCCCTCCTGCAGCTGTCATAAAAATTTCTACGATTTGACATCTTTGGAAACTCAGGTAGACCATAGAGAGATCCAATTGACAATCAATTACTCTGTACCTTAATAGTTATATTACTGCTAGTAATGTTATAACGACTTAATAATATTAATATTACTAATATTAAAGAAATCTTTATGGTAAAGTTGGTTTGGGAAACATAGATAATGCCTGTGGTAAACACCCAGTGGTGAAAAGAGTCACCACATCAGCAAGGGACATTATTTAGCCAAGGTGTAACTGGATCTGTGGAGTAACACAAAAACTGGTTTTTCTAGCATTTTCTCAATCAGAGTTTTTGTAGACCAGCACTTCTGTGTAGCCACATCGCTATGACAAATAATGACCCCAGTCATGGCCCAAAGGCATTGCTATGGCCATAAGGCACTGCTAGATTCCAAAATGTCTTCTCAATATTTAAATAAAGATTAAATATTCTCACTATCATTTTGGCATTTAACCTCATTTCTGTCAGTGGCCCCATTGTTTATCCAGTTGCTTGAGCCTGAAAACTTGAAGCCATGTGAGTCATTCTCTACTCCACACATCCATTTCTTATTTTGAAACACCTCCACTGACCATTTTCCTCTCTACTTTATTTGTGAATCTTTTCAAGGGTTTACTCTCTCAGGAATGGCACCTGCCTCATCCAGTTAAACAAACCAAAAAGTCTAGGAGTCATTCCAACACCTTTCTCTACCTTGCTACCCCCTCCACATGCTCAATCCATGACCACGTCCTATCAAGGTTACCTCCTAAAGGAATCTCTCAAATCCAACCACTTTGCTATGCCTCCAATGCCACCACCCATGCCTCCAAACTGCCACCATCTTTCATGTGGACTTCAGCAGTGGTTTCCAAACTGGTCTTCTCCATTTACTCTGGGCTTCTCTCCACACTGCATCTAAAGTACTTTTTCAAGGTGCTAATCTGATCATGTCACATGTTTTGTTCATTTTCTCCCACTGTCTTATTTATCAAGGGCTATAAGAGCTCATGATTACACATTCAGGTATCTCCTATTAGAAAAAAATCTTCTGCAGAAAACCACTATAAACTCTGTACAAAACATTTTAAAAAGCAACTTAAAGAAACTGAAAAGTGAACAAAAGTAGGCTTAGAACATTTGGAATCAACCCTTGAAAAAAGAGAATGGTACAGGCTGACTTCTTCTACTTTTTTTTTTTTTTTTTAACAACTTAAACCTGAAAGAAAAGTCCAATCTGCTCCCAGCTATATTTGTGACCGAAAACCCACAGGCTTGCTGGTTTGAAAAGTCAAAGGACAGGTTTTGGGGGAAAACACAGCTACTGTAATGTGAACAGGAAAATTTCAGAAAGGAAAGAGCCAGAGAGGCAGAGGCCTAAAATCTATCTATAATCTTTCCCCAGATCTCTGGCAAACCTTGAGTCATGTACACACACAGGACAGACTCCAAACTCCCTAGCTAAGGCCAAAAGAACTGAAAAGAGCTGAGCCCACCTCTAGGGAGACAGAGTTTTATAGTTTGCATGTAGTCATGTTAACAGCCTGCTTAAAAAACAAATTCAAAAACAAAAACAAAAAACCCAATACTTTTCAGAGGAACATTGTTTCTGCAATGGATCATTCATAGTGGCTAGGATACAATTCCAAATTACTTGACATACAAAGAAACAGGGAACATGATCCATTCTTAAGAGAAAAGATAATCAATGGAGGACAATCCCTAGATGATCCTGATGCTGAAATTCAGCTTCAAGGATTTTAAAGCAGCTATTATAACTATGTTCAAGGATGTAATGAAAAATATGATAATAAGAAATGAAAAGATAGTAAATTTCAGCAGAGAAATATAAACTATAAAAAAAAACAAATGGAAATTCCAGAACTGAAAAATACAGTATCTGAAATAAAAACTTCACCTTATAGGCTTAACAGCAGAATGGATATGGCTTAGAAGAGAGATATCACATGCAAAAACAGATTAGTAGAAATTATACAATATTGAGAAGAGAAAAAAATGAATTTTAAAAATAAAAAATATCAGAGATTTGTGAAAAAATAAAACAAGACAAAGATTTTACGTACATGTACCTAGAATCCCAAAGGAGAGACAAAGTATGAGGCAAAAACCAATATTTGAAGAAATAATGGCTGAAATTTTCCCAAATATGGTGAAAGACATGCAATTACAGATCCAAGAAGATCATATAATGCCAAGAAAGATTAATTCAAAGAATATACCTAGGCACATCATAATCAAACCATGATGAAGAAAAAATCTTGAAAGCAG